TGACCAGACAGGTTAAAGTGTTCTCCCACTGGTTTTTGAGTATTATGATTCCTGATGTCAGAGGTTTGGGGGCTGTCTGTAAGCGAGGACAGGTCTGTCTCCCAAGTTCTGTGAGAGTAAAGAATCATCTTTCAGAATAGGTTGTAGATCTCTGATGATGCGCTGGAGAGGTTTTAGTTGGGGGCTGAAGGTGACAGCTAGTGGTGTTCTGTTATTTTCTTTGTTGAGCCTGTCTTGTAGGAGGTGACTTCTGGATACTCGTCTGTCTCTGTCAATCTGTTTTTTCACTTCAGCAGGTGGGTTTTAAGAATGCTTGATAGAGATCTTGTAGGTGCTTGTCTCTATCTGAGGGATTGGAGCAAATGCGGTTATATCTTAGAGCTTGGCTGTAGACAATGGATCGTGTGGTGTGTCCTGGATGGAAGCTAGAGGCATCAGGAGCAGGAATTGATATGCAAACTAGATACAATCTACTCAGGATTGAATAAGGACTGGGAATGGCTGAGCCATTACAAACATTAAATCTATCTCCCCTTGTAAGTATTCTCACACTTCTTATCAAACTGTCTGTACTGGGCTAGCTTGATTATCACTTAAAAAAATTTTTTTTCTCTTACTTAATTGGCCTCTCAGAGTTGATAAGACAACTCCCACCTGTTCATGCTCTCTGTATGTGTGTATATATATCCCCTCAATATATGTTCCACTCTATATGCATCCGAAGAAGTGGGCAGTAGCCCATGAAAGCTTATGCTCTAATAAATTTGTTAGTCTCTAAGGTGCCACAAGTACTCCTGTTCTTTTTTAAAAAAATAAAAAATGCTAAACAATGTCAGGTCTTCTCTGTTCATCATAAGAAGCAAAAAAAGGGCACAAGCCCAATTTATTAAAAAATCCTTTGCTGTTCACATTTAAGCAATGAAAGTTTTCTCTATAGTGTCAGATTTGTTTTCAGATTTAATTTTTATGGTGTATCCAAAAGTCCTCGGCCAGCTTCCCATAGGGCAGCTGCATGATGTCCGCTTGGGTTAAACCGGACTGGACTATGAGCATAACACAAAGGCAGAAGATCTTCAAATGCACAGGTGCAGGGTGAGATAGGGAAACCTAACAGATTACAAATTGGGTTGTATTGTAAATGTTTGTATTTTAACTTTGTTATATTCAGAAGGAAGTGAGAGAAGCGCTCAGACACGTAATTACCGCGGGGGAAAAACCCTATACAGACACTACAATCATTCAGGTAAACCACAGTTGATGTTCTTTGTAGCATGCAAGTCATTACACGCAAGATCCTCAGCATTTGCTAATATACTCTAATTTTACCAATCTAGACTCAAGTCTGCTGTGTTGCACACCTGCAATCTTACTGACTTTAGCTGTAGCTGTGTCACTGAGAGCAGAGTTTTACCTCTTCTGTATAAAAGAAAAATAATGAACCTTCCCATGTTTCTCTATATCAGGGGTCAGCAACCCTTCAGAAGTGGTGTGCCGAGTCTTCATTTATTCACTCTAATTTAAGGTTCCGCGTGCCAGTAATACATTTTAACCTTTTTAGAAGGTCTCTTTCTATAAGTCTATAATATATAACTAAGCTATTGTTGTATGTAAAGTAAATAAGGTTTTTAAAAGTTCATTTAAAATTAAATTAAAATGCAGAGTCCCCCGGACCGGTGGCCAGGACCCGGGCAGTGTGAGTGCCACTGAAAAGCAGCTCACGTGCCGCCTTCGGCACGCATGCCATAGGTTGCCTACCCCTGCTCTATATCTTCAGCAATACCCTGCTCCTGCTCCCACTGAAGTCAGTGGGAGTTTTGCCATTACCTTCATTGTGGGCAGGCTCATGCTTGAATTGCTGCATGCATGTTTGCATGAAATTTTAATATGTCTATAATGGTGGTGTAGAGGCATTGGTCCAGATTTTCCTAACATGACCAAGGACAGGATAGGCTCATTACTCAATGCAGGGCTGGGGGGGGGAGAGATAATAACAGAAAACAGGGAAATGTCAGAAGTGCTAAATGCCTTTTTTGTTTCTGTTTTCACCAAAAAGGTTAGTAGTGATCAGATGTCTACCATAGTGAATGCCAGTGAAAATGAGGTAGGATCTGAGGATAAAATAGGGAAAGAACAAGTTCAAAATTACTTAGACAAGTTAGATGTCTTCATGTCGGCAGGGCCTAATGAAATGCATCCTAGAATATTCAAGGAGCTGACTGAGGAGATACTAAGCCATTAGTGATTATCTTTGAAAACTCATGGAAAATGGGAGAGATTCCAGAGGACTGGAAAAGAGCAAAGGTAGTGCCAATCTATAAAAAAGGGGAATTAGGAAAACCTGGAGAATTACAGTCCTGTCATCTTAACTTCAGTACCTGGAAAGATAATGAAGCAAATAATCAAGCAATCAATTTGCAAACTCCTAGAAGACAATAAGTTGCTAAGTAATACTCAACATGGATTTGTCAAGAAAAAATCATGTCAAACCAACCTAGGAATGTGCAAGTGATAGTTTGCAAAACTAGCTAATACAGGAAATTTGCATGGGCACATATAGAGGCCAAGTTGAGGATCCTTTGAAATTTGGCCTGCCAAGGTTTCCTGTGTGGCCTGCCAGTTAAGCTCTGTCTGAGCAGCAGGAGAGTGGTCACTGCTGGCCGGGCACCCAGCTCTAAAGGCAGCACCGTCGTCAGCAGCAGCACGGAAGTAAGGGTAGCAATACACCATACCATGCCACCCTTACTTCTCCGCTGCTGCTGGTGGCTCTGCCTTCAGAGCTGGGTGCCTGGCCAGCAGCTGCCGCTATTCAGCTGCCCAGCCAGTGCTTAATTTGTGCTGGGTTGAGCTCCGGCATCTCTTTCATTACAAATTAATCACTGCAGGTAATAATGTTGATTTATAAACTTTGTTAAAAGATAGAAACACTAATACTTATGTTCCAATCAAGGTCTTTATTTATTGGGAGCTGAAGTTTTTTTTCTTTTATTTTGTCAGTCTTCTGCACAAATGGCCTGCCTCTTGTCATAAAATACTCAAATCGGCCTGCAGGCTGATCTAATTGAGTAGAACAGCATTGGAGTTTGGATTTGATGGTACTGAAATGACAAGTTATTGGGCTCAGTGCAGGGGTAACTGGGTGAAATGTACTGGCCTGGGATCTACAGACAGTCAGATTAGATGACCTAATGGTCCCTTCTGGCCTTAAACTCTATGAATCTATGAAATCTCTCAAGGTGTTCTCATGAGATTTCCACCAGCAGGGGCTGCATCCAGAACTAGTCCCATAGGGACAGTGAGACAGGGTGAAACATCCAAGAAAGGATTAAGGGCTGCCTGCCTGTCGCATGACTAGGGTGACCGGACGTTCCGATAAAATCGGGACCGTCCCGATATTTCGGTATCTGTCCCGCGCCCTGACCGATCTTTGGTTGGGACGCATTTTGTCCCGATATCCGCCGGCAGCACTGCGGGGTATTTTTGTTTTGTTTTTTTTCTCAGCCAGCAGGACTTGGTTTTTTTTGCTCTGCCGGCGGGCACAACCCGCCCCCCCATGTGTTCCGATATTTTCTTCCCCTCATCTGGTCACCCTACACATGACTGAGCAGGGGATTTAAGGAGAGGTAGGGGAAAAACCTCTGGGGATTGCAGCCTGCTTTGGTCAGGGAAATCACTTTGTTTTGTTAACTTCCTGAGTTTGTGTTTGTGAAAGTGTGCCCTGATCATGGGAGGCGGGTGAAACTTCCCCTTGGGGAGGCTAGTCCTCTGCCTTGCCTCTTTTGGGGCGAGGCCATCCCCTGCTCGCTGCTCTCAGCCCCTCTGTGGCCCCGGGTGGGGTGGGGGGAGCTGAGAGCTTGGCCCCTCCCCCACATGGCCCCAGCAGGGGCGGGGTGGGCTGAGAGCTTGGTCAGGTCACAGGGAGGGAATGGGGAGGGGGTTGGCTTAGAGCTCAGCCCTGGCTGGAATCAAGCTCTCAACCCCAGCTGGGACCACGGCAGACCTCTTGGCCCTTGCTGGCGCTCCAAGCCAGGAGCCCATCCCCTATTCCGCCCTTTTCGCCTGCAGCCCCATCCATGGCCCCACCCCATTCCGCCCCTTTCCCCGCAGCCCCGCCCATGTTTCTTCCCCACTCGGCCTCTTCCCCTGAGGCCCTGCCCTCCGCTTGCTTGCTACTTTCACACACACCCCGCTGGGGCCCTGAGATCGGAAAAGCTCTGCGGCTGGGAGTGAGACCTCCTCCAGTTCTCGGGCCCTGGTGGGGGGAGATTTTTCTGGGGCCCCCAGATTGGCCGAGGCCCCTGGGCATGGCATGATCCTGGTTCTTCCCTAGGCCAGTAAGAAAGCCACCTGCTTACAGGAAGTTTCAGACCCAATTATTCAAATCAAACTTGTCTCCCAAATCTGATTGTGGATTCAGACTTGAGGTTCCAATTCAGGCCCATCTCTACATGAAATAAATATTTAGGCACAAATCTTCAGACGGTGGCCTCAGTTTCTCTTCAGGCACAAATTATGTCTGAAATTTGATCAGATGTTTAAGTACCTGCTTTGTGGCTCCATCAGGTATTTAGCCATCCAACCCAATGTGGCCACAAATGACTGCACAGGCTGGTTAAGGAAAGGTGGAAAATGTTGTCTTTAACATGGCACATAGGCATATTAGGGCTGGTCTACACTGGCAGGGGGATCGATCCAAGATACGCAACTTCTGAAGTCGAAGAATCTTGGATCGAATTACCTGGGGTGCAGACGGCGCGGGATCGATGGCCGCAGCTCCCCCGTTGACTGCGCTACCGCCGCTCGCTCTGGTGGAGTTCCGGAGTCGACGGCGAGCGCGTTCGGGGATCGATATATTGCATCTTAACGAGACGCAATATATCGATCCCGGATAAATCGATTGCTACCCGCCGATACGGCGGGTAGTGAAGACGTACCCTTAGATTAGCTATCTATATCTATCTATACTGTCTATAATATCTATACTGGCAAAGCCTCCTAATGGAGACACAGCTTATACTGGCCAAAGAGTTATTTTGCTAGTATATTTTATACCAGTTCCCCAAACGAAATAAGGCATAACGGCCAAAGCACTTTTTTGCTAGCATGACTGCATCTACACTAAGGTTTTTGCCAGCATAGCTATGTCAGCTACAAGTGTGATTTTTTTTTTTTTCATACTCCTAACTGAAGTAACAATGCCAGCAAAATTTAACTGTAGAGCAGGCCTAAGGTTGCCTTTTAAATGCTGTGTACTTTTTCCAAGAGACACTGTTGTTCAACTTGATGTCCTGGTCAAGTTCCTGATTCAGGTGGAATGTGATTACCCAGCTACCATTCTGTACTTGTCAACTCAATATGGCATTCTTCACTTTCTGTCCTAAACTGATGCATAGTATTCTGTACCCAGATTAACAACTGCTAGATCTGGCTTCATTTCAGTGGTGTATATAGTTGGTGCTGTTTGGAGAAGGCTTTGGGATGTTTTTTTGTAATGCAAAGTGCTGTATGAATGTAAGATTCTGAAAATATTACTTACTTTCTTTTTGTTCTGTGTTTGTATAGTGTATAATGATGATGCATAATATTACTATTAATATTACACATTATGTAAGATCATGAAAATAGTACTTCTGCAATTTTGTTTTCTTAATGCCTAAAGAAGAACAGATCATCAATATTTTCACAATACATGTCTCGTGTTCAGATTAGGGGAGTGTGCTTTCTTCCTCCTTTTTTGCTGAACTGATACATTTATTGTGGCTAGTGCATGGAAAATCCCACTCTCTCTGTTTGTCCCCATTTGTCTCTCTGACACTACGCAGATCACAGCCTGAACACAGAATTTATTATTCTGTCTGTCTCCTTTTTTCCATCTGGTCCTTTCCTACTGCAAGGCTCCATTTCAAGAGAGTAGCTAATAGCATTAAGTTAACACCTGTTCAAGTCAATCCAAACAGAGACTGATTTTCATCCTTCTGGCAGGAAGAAACTAAGTGCTCTGCTTGGCTTGCCATTTGAAAGTGTAAGGTGGCGTCAGGGGGAATTAGCATGAGCAAATTGTCAGGACCCTATTTATTATCTTATGCCATGAAACGGAGCCCACCTATTCCTTGCTGCCAGTCTGGTAGAATAAGCATCTCACCCCAGGAATACTGTCTGTGTATGTTTTTATATAGGCATCTGTCAAGGCTGTATCCCCACTTTGAACTTTAGGGTACAAATGTAGGGGCCTGCATGAAAACTTCTAAGCTTAACTACCAGCTTAGCTCTGGTCTGCTGCCACCATTT